GGCACTTAAAAAAAGTATTTAGTTTTAGGACACATAAAGTGCAAAACTGGCAAAAGCAACATGTAACAGAAATGTATAATTCAAAAAGATTACACATGGACATATTTTGCTTACAAAACACTACAGCTGAACAAGCTGAGACAAATGCAATGTTCTAAAGACTACAATAAACGATATTACAGAGAACAATATTGTACCTTTTGCAGGTGGAGCTTCTACTTTAGGAATATGTGGTATTTTTTCTTCTGGAACTGGTTTCTTAGGTATTTCTGGCACTTCAGAGATATGAATTATAATAATATTAAGTAACTAAAATTACCGGCGTTTTAAGACCACATCTATAGCACAAAACATCTAACACATCTATATTCACAAAACTGACGCAACAGAGACATAGCTAATGTAACTGAAGTTCAACTAAAACCAGATTCATTTAACAATCAAACCCAAAATGGGACCAAGATGCTTAAGATAACAAGAAAAAAAATTTATTTATTTAAGTGTACCTTTAGATGGTGGAGCTTCCTCTCTTTTTGGAACAGCAATTTTCTCTGGGGGAGCTCTCTTAGGCACCTCTGGCACTTAAAAAAGATAAAATAGAAGATAACTGAATTCTATATTTCAAAGATTTATTGGACTATTATAGAATTTCATTAATCCATTTATAAGAATATCAAGACACACCATATAACACATTCATACACTTAACATACAAAGGTATGAGACAAGAACAACATATATTTGAAAAAAAAAAAAAAATCAAACCAGTCTCTGGAAGCCTATCAAGAGCTTTAAGACTGATTACTTAACTGAAGACAGAGCTGCTCAAGTATGTTAGCTGGCCTTAGAACTGTTATATATTCACAGAGAATTATACATAAAAAATAAATTTCTAACACAGACATGTTTACATACCACTAACAACAACAACAAAAAATTAAAAAGATATTCAACAGGTACATGTACACTCCATCACTAAGTATACCTTTGGCACGTGGAGGTTCTTCTTTGGGAGCTGGAACATGCACTTTTTCTTCAGGCACAGGTTTTTTAGGCACTTCAGGAACTTTAAAAGTATGAAATTTTTTTTAAGTAATCTTTCTAAGGCTTTTGAGTTTCTCTTAGATGAGAACAGGCATACAACATAACACACACAAACTATATTTATCATATGCTTATATTGAGAAGTGAGTAGTAGTTAGGAAAACAGCATGATAGTACAGGACTGGCTAAAGCCCACATTCAAAAAATGCTGTACCTTTTGCTGGGGGAGCCACCTCCTTTTTAACAGCAGTGACTTTCTTTTCTGGAACAGGTTTCTTAGGGACTTCAGGCACTTTGGAAAACATTGTCAAAGTGAGAGAGCTTTAGTTTTTGGACCACTTATCCAGGTTTCAGTAATCCAAGATTGCTTTATAGAACATAATGTCTGGACAAGGAGCTGAACACTGCAACACAGTGCAACGTACAACCTTTTGGACATACAGTGGACTATATGGGAAAGACACTACGATACAGTATAAAATTCCAGTGTTAACATTTCTGCGCTATCACCCCTTATGGCATTTTGTGGAAGTAAAAACACCCTACCCCTGCCTGAAGAAGCCACAAAACCTAAATACAAACAACAAGCACAACATTGTTAGGAAAGAGAAGAACCAAAGCTGAGACAAATGCAAGCTGTAAGCTAAGTTATACAATAAATGAAAAAGTGAAAATATGGAGATAATGGAGATAATGCAAAATCAAATAATGCCTCTGGAGGTAATGCAAAACCAAAGTCAGAGAGTAAATTCATAAATATATTCAAGAAAACATGAAAAATAATGTAATGAAAGACAATTTGTTTGGGGGTTTTTTGGTGTTTTTTTTTCTTTTTTTACTAAGGCAGTAGAAATACCTTTAACTGATGGAGCTTCTTTTTTAGGGACAGGAACGGGCTTTCTTTCTTCTGGAACATGCCTCTTTGGTATCTCAGGCACTTTAAAGAGATAAGTGGTGAACACTTAGGAGACAGTAAAAATATTTGGTAAATCACAGTAGGCTACTTGGAACACACTGGATAAGCAAACACTACATGTCAAAAAATATGCAGTTTTACTAAACAGATACAATATGCTCATCTCAAAGAAAAAAAAAGCTATTCAAAGAATTATTTAAAGCAGTGATGAAGAAGAATTAGTTTAGAAATGCAATAGGGCTTGAACTTTGGAAAGTAGAACCATAGAGAGATGGAAAGGTCTCAGTTCTGATATGCTACCCTTCGGTAAAGAGTGGTACAGGCAGATAACATGAAAGTTCAGAAAAATGAAGCGCATGATGATACAAAGATTTTATTCACCTTCAACACGAGGGATCTCAAATTCTGTAGAAATGACTTCTTCTTCTTCCTCCTCTTCAACTTCCTCATGTGCTACAATAGGAATTTTTAAGATATTAAATTTGGAGATAGGAAATATCAATGTCCATAGAAAAGCTGAAAAGCTTTTAAGAAGATATTATGTGTTTCCAGTACACAAAGGTCACTGAAACACATATGCTAACTACAGATTCAAATTGTTTTAAAAATCTTAAATATTCATTAGCCTCTCATTCTTAATCAATCTACCTTCAATTGGGTAAACAGCTTCAAAGAATCTTTCTTCAACTGTTTTCTCATGCTCTGCTGGCTCTTCAAAGAGAAGCATTTAAAAATGTTAAGATAAAATAGTGGAAATGTTGACATCTATTAATTTAAAAAACCTGAGGCTACATAACACAATGAACAAAAAGAAGCAATGCATATTGAAAGACAAATATACGATGTGTCTAAATATGTAACTTGCCATATATAAAAATAGGTAAAAAGAAAATCTAGTAGGATTGAAAGATTGTTTTGATTTGGGTGCACAGATTTTTGGTTTTGTACATACCTGTGACATATGAATACTCTTCTTCTCTGTGGACAGAAACCGACATCTTTTCTTCTGAAACAGTCCATGTTTCTACTGTCGGTACTTTAAAGATAGGATTTTGTTTTAGTATTTTATATTCTAGCTCCACATTAGTGGTAGTCAGCATGTGAGTTCTTATCAAATCTGTATCGGTACTGCACATTTAAGTCTTAGACATATTTAGACAGTATTCATATACTAAAATACTGAACACAAACCAAGCATACAAGTGTAATATTTAGTATCTGTTAAAGACTAAAGACACAGACACCTTTTACTTGAAAATTTAAGATAAATGCATGCACAGGCTTTTGGAAATGGTTTATCGGAAGAATTCCAAAGGTGGTTCTTCAAAGAAATTTTGGGGCACGGGGCCATTATTATGAAGCATAGACTAGCATGCAGAATAGATGAAGAAAAAGCTAAATCACACTGTAGGCTGTTTAGCTAAATCATCCTGTAGGCTGTTTAAACAAGAATCAAAAGGCTAGCCACAAAGATGTTAAAAACAGACTTTATGAAAAGTAAAAGCACAGTATACATACTATTCAAACACTGAGAGCAGTCACAGCATGACTAGTACAATAGATCCAGGTACATACACACAGGCCCACAGGCTTCACAAGAAGCACAAGAACACACAGGGTGCTGGAAAAATGTAAACTGCAATTGAAAGATGCTGATCTCTACCTTCCTTTTTCATAACTTTTTCCTCAATGATCGTTGGTGTAGGTTTTGGTGGTATAACTCTCTTGGTAACTGTTGGCATTAAAATTTTGTTACTCAGTCATATATTTGGCAAAGAAATCAAAATAAGTCTACAGCTACTGAGCAATGATGTTGAAGAAACAACAAACAAGACAAACGTAATCTAACTCAGTAGCTAAATCAGGTTCCTTGGGACTATGCAAAGCAATAGAAGGAATGTGTTTGCTTCTTTTTATTGCTACCTTCTAAAGAGGCTGGGTAACTCAGGGCGTTAGTACACAGGTCATATCCTGACATACATTGAATGCACACAACAGATTCCTGCTGCAGAATAGGAAATGCTGAACAAGAGGAGGTGGTTAGCAAGAGAATAAGGATGCATCTTTATTTCATAACCCAACAGTTAACCAAGACATCCTGGTAGACAGGTCAAGATGGAAATCTGAGGAAGATGCGGATTTCACAACTTCTGGTTAGAGCGAAACATGCTGTTTCAGCCAGTGCAATTTTACACTCACTTCCTTTCTTCAAGCATTGTTAGTTAGCATCTGCATTTAGTATTTTTCCCTAAAAAAGCTTTTAATCTTCCTTTTATAGAATTCAGCAGATGCTTTTATTAGATGTTTCAAAGACTGAAAAAATGATTGGACCCATGTTAAATGAAGAAACAGCATATGTAGATCAACTAAGTAACAATAGCCACTACTCATGTAAAACGACAGTAAGGTAATTAAACAGTAGTTACCCTCAGCCCGTTTGACTTTTTCTTCTGCAACCTTCTGAGTGGTTATCTCCACTTTTTCATCAACAGGTTTCTTGACAACTGTAAGTGATTCAGATATATTTACTGTTTAAATCATCTTGTAAATTATTTTCTGGACACAAACCAGGTAGAAACGGCTATTTTCTTGTTAAGAATGTTATAACATTTGCGCATTCTGCGTGTTGTTTGGGGCGCTGCTGACTGGTGGTGAACAGTGGTGGTAAAGGCACTTGTGAAACAGGTGATCAGGTCCACCCATCCCTGAGAAATATGCAATGATCTAAAAGGAGTATTCACTGACTCAAAAGCACCACCCATACCAAAGGCTAATATACAGTGAGAAGGAAAGATAACTGAAGCTCAGTTTGACTTCACCAGCAATCTTGGTCTTCTTCAACCACCATTGCCACTATTCTCTCTCTGCTCAAAAATATGAGGTGGGAGAAGAGGAAGAGTTACCATGAGCCTTGCTCATGTCACTGTCATGTCACTGTCTCACACATAAAGAGAATTCTCTCATTTTCAAGGAAATGTTAATAACCACTTGAAGGAGATGCAATTTGCATGTTCCTGTTAGTTTTGCAGGAAAGTCATACCTTTACGAACTGTTACTTCTTTCTTTTCCTTCTTTTCAGCTGTAATTGCTGGTGGTTTTCGCTCAGGCACAGGCCTCTTAGGAACTTCAACCACTTCAAAAATAATAACATTGCTTAATGGTGAAAAATGCATTGTCTAAAGGCTTGATACATACAAAAGTTATTAGTTATACCATTATAAGTTTATGAAGTTGAAAAACACACACAGTTTTAGAGATCCAATTATTGCAGTAAAATTTTCTGCTTATTTCCAAGTTTGATTGTTTCCCATTGCAGCCAAATTCTGTTCCTAGAGGCATACACGTTACTACTACCCAATACTGTTAAAGCATGCAAGGAATTGTGAAATACAGCTATTAACATCTAACAATTGACATGTGAAACATTCAACCTAAATCAAGCTTATCTAGAATACAGGAAAATGATAGAAGAAATATCCAAATCTACTAAAAATGACACATATCCTTACAAACTACTAACATTTAAAGATGTCCCAATCCACAAAGTCCATTGGCAACCAAATTACAGTGTATCAATTTCAATCTGCATCTATACCTTGCCATACTAGAGTCTGTGCCTTATCAAGTGCCAGTTAAAACTCGGCAGCATATTAAGGTTCAAGTTATTGTAACAAAAAAAAAAACCTCCAAAAAATGCTGCCTGGCTCAATTTTTTTTTGGCCTTAATAATAACTATGAGAAAAGAGAAGAAATAAAATGGTATGATAATTAAAATACCTTCTTCTTCATGAATGACTCGTTTTTCTTCATAAGTCACTTCTCTTTTCTCATAAGCTTCTTCCCATTCCTCTTCTCCTTCATCATAGCCTTCTTCCTTGACATAATAGTCATGGTCTTCTCCATAATCTTCTTCCCATTCTTCATAAGTTTCTTTGGGCTCTTCATAGATTTCCTTCTTTTCTTCATAAATTTCTTCTCTCCTTGCCATGGATGTTATTTTGACCTCTTTGGGCTTCTCTGGCAGCACCTCAGGAACTTAAAAAAAAAATAGACTACTCATATCATAGCCTGGAAATTACAAGGTGTATTAGATGTTCACAGTTAATGAAATGGTTTCACCCTCACAGACGGTTTAATGAAGTGACTATTTTTTAAGCAGTCCTAATCAGCTTGGATTTTAAATGTGTATCTTTTAACATAAAGACAAAAATCAGAGAAATTTGATTCATTCAAGGTAATTTGAAACAAATTGCCTTGCTTTCACAAGGTAATTTTACTATTTTTAAAAAAGTTTAAAAAAAAAAGGAAAAAATACCTTTAGGTGGTGGGACTTCTTCAGGAACTTTTTTAACCACCTTTTTGGAGACTTTCTTCACTGGAACCTTTTTTTCTGCTTAAAACCAATATATTTTAAAATGTAAATAAAAAGAAAAACCCAACCAACAGGCATAATGAAACATGTACACACTGTCCAAATACTTTAAGTAATCATACCTGGCTTTTTCTCCTCTGGTGGTGGAATAAGAGGCAGAAGAATAGGAATAGGGGCAGCTTGTAGGAAAAATGAAATATTTAGAAAAAAAATATGAGTATGACATTTTCTTGTAAATGAACAAAAATCCTAGTGCAATTGGGAAAATAGATGAGATTTTTTTTTTTTTGCAGCTGCAGAATAAAAGCAAACATGGTGCTCATTCTGACAGCTCACTGTAGCTGGAAGAATATATTTTGAGTGGGAATTCCTGTTCTACCTTTATTTGAACCCTGACCCTTCTCAGCTTTATTTTCTTTACTGCCATCACTCTCCTTTCTTTACTCATAGTAATTCATCTAAATATCAGATCTTTCCTGTCCTGCTGGCACTGCAAGCATTTACCAAATGAATCCAAGATGACTGAACTTCTAAGGTTCATAGCAAACTATTGAATGTAACAGAAATATACATAATATTTGTAGTCTGTAGTCCAACACCCGAGCATCGGGAGTGACCATTTGCAATAAACATGCAATCCATTGTATGGCTTTAAAAGAATATTTGTATTTTAATTTCCTTTGTTTTTTTTTCTTTTTAAGGTAGTAATTGAGACAGCTTGTTTAAAAGATACTTCTGTGGCACAAAGAAGAAAAGGTGAAAATAAAGAACAAGCAGAAGAGGAAAATGGAAATAAAAGGAAGATGAAAAGAACAAGAGACTGATAGGAAAACAAGATGGAAAGGACAAACAGTTTTTAAGTTTTGAGAGAAAAGGCTTCATTCCCACCACTACCTGTGTATAATTTTCCCCTTCCACATGACAGAACAAGCCTATGCAAGCCAAGCCTTGCTCATATCATATTTGTATAGAGACAATTAACTAGATCTTATCACTGAGCTGTCTAAGACTTTTCTCTGAGGTTCCTACTGGCCTGCTGCCTTAGTGTGGGTATAAAACAGCACTATGGAACAAGCATGGTTTGTTACCCTACCTTCAGCTGGTTTTTGAGGTGGAACAGCAACCTTGGCATCAGGAACATCTAGAAAATCAAAATGTTTAACTGACTAAAAAAAAATAGGTTTGAATATATTGTCCCCAAGAATAGTAGTTCATGGTGCTTTAATCTTTCTGTTCCAGCGTCCAAGGATTGTAGCTTGCTCTTCAAGAATAAGCTATCTGACCAATAGATAACATATTGCATTCATCTTTCTGTCTGGCCAGACTCTACACTGTTTTTTTTCTAAATAACTCTTGCATCATTTTGGAGTAGGCTCTTAAGAACGTTCAGAAAAGATCATTATATAAGGAGATGATTGCTACCCATTTTGCCTCCGTTATTTTTTTTTTTTCAGTTGTGCAGAGGACACTGAATCTATTCATTGGTACCTCTTCATTGCTCTATTCCTCAGTCATTCAAACAAAAATAAACTTTTGTGTTCTGGAGAATGTGGCTTCCCATATTGTACAAAATAGGACTTCCAGACACATCAATACCACTGCTTTTGGAGTTATCACAGTATTCATTGACACTATTTATGAGAATAAATAGTTCCTCATATTTATGGATGAGGAATATTTTTTCGGGGTGTAGGTTTGACTTACTATAACTAGTAAAGAATTAAGTGAAAATAAAAAATAAAGCATAGCAATGCAGTAAATCTATGACATAGTGATCTTGTGCCAGTCTTGCTCATGATCTTTACCTGGTGGCTTCAACTCCAGTTTGATTTCTGCAAAAGAATATTAGATTTATTTTAGGGCTATTTATTTGTCCAGAATCTTGTTTCAAACTCACAAATTTGCAGATGATTATGATCACAAATTTGTTTAGCAAATTCGCTAACCTTTGGTTACTAGATAGAGCTCTGCAGTGCTTCTTGCTTCTCCTCTTGGTTCAAGACGAGCAATTACAGAATATACACCTGCAATAGCCAAGAATGTTGATATTTACATGAATTTATCATTAAAAAGCCAGACAACAAAATCAGATAAAAGAATGGCATCAGCACAAATATTCCATGCATTTTTACCTTCATCTTCTGCAGTAACATTGTGAATAGTCATATAATGACAACGACCTTCACTTCTGAAGCTGTACTTGGGACTCTCTCTCAGTTCATTGGGGCCTTTATACCATGTCACAACTGCATCATCAAAAGACACCTCACACTCAAAGGTTGCAGACTGGTGTTCACTCACTACAATGTTCTGTATGCTCTTTGTGAATTGAATTGGTTCCGCTGTTTTTAGAAATAAAAAATATATATCAATCGTTATGCACTACCAGGCCATTTAGTTTATCTAATTCCTTCTCATAATTTTCATAATAATAGCTACATTATAATAAGAGTTAATAGCAATAGATCTTGAAAAAGTAGAGTAAGAAAAAGGGATTCCATCTTCTATGAAGTTTTCTATGTAAGAATGAAGATTATAAGAGATAAGAGTACAACTACAACAAGATTGATGTGCAGATAAATTATATAAGAGAAGCTATTAAGGAAATTAAAGATAAAGAATAACTAAGAAAAAGAGGAAATCCAAGGAAAATATAAGAGTATCAGAGAAAAAGAAAATAAAAGCAAGTATGACTCAGACTGTTTGAAGGCCAGGGGCCATTAGGAATGATGGTTTAGTTAAAAATACTGACTTAAACAAGCATGTCACATATTGTTCAAAGAGAAACGACAGCAAAATATCTTGTTGAGTCCATTTCCAAGTTTGGGAATATCTTTTTTAATAAATTCCTTTTATTTTCATTTCTTCTGTTAACAGAACATCCAGAAACTGTTTGTCACTACCATAATAAAGAGATTCTGTATCTGTTTACAAACCTTCAATGGCCAGATCTGCAGTTGTTTCTAGATTGTCAAGCTTGCAGGTATACTGTCCCTGGTCTTCTGTTCTAAGATCCTTGATGATGAGTTTGTGTACTTTGTCAGAGACTTGTGTTGAATATCGCCCTCCTATCTTAATGGGTCTCCCATTTCTATACCACTGAGACTTGGCATTTGGGATAGAGAACTGACAAGACAGCGTGCAAGTTTTTCCTTCCTTGAAAGTAGTGTCATGAAGATGCCGTTCAACTGCAGGTTCTATTAGCATGTTAAAACATATATTTTAGCAGACATCAGACAGTGGAATAAAGTGTAAATTAATTAAAATACATACTTCAAAAGTACACCTACCGATCACAGTTAGCCTGGCACTGGCAATATGTGGTCCACACACTATTCTGAAATTTCCCTGATCTTCAAGTTGGCAGTTCCTGATTCTCAGTATATGGCGATCGCCTTCAATTCTAATTTCATATTTGTCATTGGAGTCCAGTTTCTGGGTTCCCTTGTACCATGAAAGTTTAATTTCTGGGTAGTTAATTTTAATCTCACATTCAAAGACAGCATCCTCATCTGTTAAAACCATCTGATTTTCAATGTCTTTGATCAGAGTAATAGGCTGAAAAATATTAGTTTAAATTAGTTTCAGGTTCCCTGTTATGGGTTTGAATATTTCACAAATGAATCCATAAATATTACCTCCGTCTGTGAGAGTCGTTGCTGAATAAAAGCTACAAGTTCATCAAACTCCTGATCTTCTCTTCGAGCTTTTTCTGTGAGCTCAATTTCCTGTAAAAAGGCAGAATATACTCAAAGATTAAAGGATAGTATATGTCAAGCTCTCATGTTTATTCAACATAGAACTTGTTCCTACATCAAATTTTCTGTAACTGTACTGTAACTAGCGTTATCTTCCCATCTTAAAAATTGCAGCCAAGTTGTGAAGACAGAACGTGCTTGGCCAGAAGGCCCATTCCTTCTTCTTGAGTTTGAGCATGCAAGAAATTGAGAATTGTCAGTAAAAGATCTAAAGAGGAACCAGAAATTCCTGCACACATAGTAATATCGGAGCGTGGACACCAAGTCCGTTCAAAGGAACGGTGTTACTCCTAGCAAAGCCAATGCCGCAGTCAGCGCTGTATCTTACCAGTCTATGGCTTTCTTCTGCTTGCGTTTGCTTTAGTAACTCAAAGGCTTGCAGGAGGCCACGGAAATCTGTAATTCCATACATGCGAGCATATTTCTCATATTCTTTGGGATCTACGTTTTTGAGAAGTTCCAAGATATCAATAGGTTGCTCTTCCTCTTCTTCCTTCCTTTTTGTTGGAGTGCTATTCAAATCAATGACATAAGTTAAATATGCAATGCTTCATTGCTAGAAAGCTGTTCACTGAAAATTGAATCCACTTAGAGCTGCCTTGTGTAGTGGAATCCTTTAGTTTTGTCTAGTTGGGTGCTTCTATTCTTAGTACAGTTACTCATATTTAATGAAAATTAAAAAATTATATCTTGATCTAATATATAATAAAAAACTTTTCTTCTGTGTTGATGGCAAATTAATCTATAAAAACTTTCCATATACCTTTTTAGTTTTGCCCTGAAATCCCCTTCAACAACTTCTTTCTTCCTTTCTTCAACTTGTAGGTTTACACTCCTCTCAATTTCACCATGCTGGTTAAAAGCTACACATTTGTACATGCCAGAATCAGTTTTGATTGCATCCTTTATTTGTAGTTTGGCTTCATCTCCTCTCTGCTGGATTATAACACGACCACCCTGGTTGAGTTGCCTCCATTTTCCCTTCAGCCATTTAACATTTGGAATTGGGTCTCCTCCAACTTTTGCAACAAACGTTGCAACAGTCTCTGCAGAAAGAGGTAAATGAAGAAGATAAGTCTTTCTAGCTGTCTATGAGAGCAGGACATAACCTCAGACAGAAGGTATAGGCAAATAGAAGACAATGTACTTTTTGAAAAGTGTTCTTACTTTCCATGACTTTGATACTCTGAGGCTCTGACACAAAATAAAGTTTTCCTTCCACTTCTGCTTTCTTAGCTGCTGGTGCAGCTGCTGGTTTTTCTAAAGGAGAGAGCCAAACAATTAAAACAGATGGCTTCACGTAATAGTTTATGTTCATGAGTGATGATGCTTCCAAAAGAATTGTAAAAAAGGAATTATTTACAGAGATGGAACAAAATATTATGCAAGAGATAAAAATGCATAAAATTTCATATTGTTTTAATTAATTTGTATTTTACTTTCCAGATGAAACTGAACACCATGGGCCACAATGTGACGTTCATTAACTTCAGTCAGGTCATTTAAATTCTGCATGAATGCAAATTCATAGATGGATAGGCAAATGAGAAGCCTCATTTTCTAAAGTGGATCAGTTTTTAGTGAGGTATTCTCTTTTCTATCTCTTTCTGGAAATTTCACCCTCAGAGTTACTTGCGTTTTTTATCAGTGATCTGTTAAATTATTTTTTTTTCCTTTTGTGTAGTTCTTAGCCTTGTGGCTTCCCATGTGGTGAAAAGATACTATTTCTACATAGTACTGAACTCTTATGTCTTTTATGCAATGGTAAGACAAGAGCTACATGGAAGGATTCAAGCTTAAACAATATTTACTTCCAGCTAAAAGGTCGAAATATCTTGGAGTTGTAAGAGTCCTGAAGCACTTAGCCTTTAAGGCCACATACTCAATTAAATTCCTTTTGTATTTTCCTTTACTAAACACCACTGTTCCCATTGTTTCCATAAACTATGCATGTCCAAGTAATTTCACTCATTTAGCTTGCATTTTCCCTAAATTCAGTGTATAGATTTAGAAACTAAATTCTTAAATTTTTTTTGTAAGAATACACTACTGATTTGACACTAATCTCCCACTGTTTATGTGGCTATTTATACATAAATTATTGTTAAATATACAGTGTTCCCAGATTGTACAGTTTTGCAAAGAACTAAAAGATACTAATTGTTTGCTATTCAATTATTGACACTTTTGTTCCACAAAAAATGAAGCAGGGTGGAATTTTGTTTTAAGTTTCCATCTTCTGCCTTAATTTTCTCCATATTACTGTACCTTTAACTGTCACTTTAGATTTGCAAGTATCAGTTCCAGCTGCATTTGACGCTTTGCATACATATTCTCCTGAATCGGATTTGGTAACTGCAGCAAGTTCCAGAAAAGCTACTCCATTAGAAAAGCTGAAGTTGCATCTGTCTGAAGCTCTTATTTCTCTCCCTGCCTTCAGCCACTGAATCCGGATTGGCTGTGATCCTTGGACGTGGCAGCTGAGCTGTAGGGTATCACCTTCCTCTACTGCTGCTGGCTGAAGAGGATGGTCAAAAACTGGAGGCTGTTTAGGTTCTGGAATATCAAAATGCTTGAGTGAATACTCAAGGAAGGAGATTATGATTAAGAATGTAAGAGAAAAAGAGATACATGTGATTCTTAAGACAATGGCAAGGAAATAAGGAGGAAAAATAGAAGTCTGAGAATGTTAATCATAGTTTTGGAAAATGGAATAAATATCCAGAGAGTATCTTTTCCATGCAAACATGCAAGAAATATCTTTTCTTCATGCAGCAAGGACATTCAGATGCAAAAAAAAGGGTATAAAAACTAAAGCACTACTATTAGGCTGCAAAACTCCTTTAAAGTAACAAATATGCAATCTTCTGCAAGAGCTTTATGATGAAGTGCCATGCTACCTCAACAGTCAACTCTGCCGAAGCTTAGATGTAGTTGCACAGAAAAACTGTTATTCTATGCAAAGAGAATGGTTAAAAATTCAACAGAAATGCCATGTAAAGTTATCAATGTTCACTTTTGATCAGCTGTAGCAGATAGTGAAAAAGAAGCCGCTCCTTGAAAAATATTGTTTTATTTTGATTGCAAAATTAAAAGAATTCCTTGCTTTTGTGGTTTAACTCAGTCTTATCTTGTCCATCTCAGGATAAATTACTGCTGTTAAGGTAAGTAAAACCAGCTCGTAAAATAGATGTTGTATATTTGCAGCTACCATACAACAAAGAAAAGTAAGAAGCAAATTAAAAAAACACTTCAACTAACCTCCGATAACAATAGAAGATGTACACAACACGCTTCCTGCTTCATTGGACACTTTACAGGTATATAAACCAGCATCTGATTGCTCTACACTCCTTATATGCAAAAGTAAGGTATTGTTTTTGAAAGATATTTCACAATGAGGGCTTGAATGAACTTCCTGATTGTTTTTATACCAAGCAACAGTCAAAGGCTGAGAGCCAGAAACACGGCCCTCAAGTCTAAGTTCATTCCCTTCTGTTTCTTCTACTGCTTCAGACAGTTTCTTAGTAAAAGTTGGTGGTGTTTTTCGTTCTGTAAAGCAAAGAACATATTGTTTAAATTCAATGAATCAAACCTGAAATTAGAAAATCTAAGGAAAGAGTTTCAAGAAAAAAACGAGCACTGGGGAATTTATATTTGTGCTCATTTAAATAGGGTATTTTTTCAACTGAAAGTATGCTAACATAAACAGCGGGTCTTGCTCTTAAAGTCACTGTTATAGTTAATTTTCCTATTTGAAAAAAATCCTCTTACATTGATTTAAGTCAAATGCCATATAAAAATAAAAGATTTTTGTAGAGTTCTCAAGAAAGAAATAGGCCAAAGCTTACAAAGAAACTACACCAAAGAAAATATTCTTTCATTTCTCTTCCCATTGTTGGTAGTGACACTTCCTAATTGCCTTAAGAGAACCACGGGTATCTCCAGATAGATATTTCAAGCTATATCTCAAAAGTTTTTCTCAGAATTATCTTGCAGAAATAAGGCTAACTTCCTTTATAATTAAAGAAAAATATACACACAATGTGTTATCTATTCAGTACCTTTAACAGACAGTTGAGCTGTGCAAGAGTCCTTTCCAACTTCATTGCTAGCATAGCATGTATACTTTCCAACATCTCCCCTGTCAACTCTCAAGATGGTCAAGTGGGCTGTGTTGTCTACATAACTGATCTGATAGTTTCTTCCTGTTCTAATCTCTTGGTTATCTTTTGCCCAAGTGACTCTAATAGGCTGTGTTCCAGAAACATGACACTCAAAGTCAGCACTTTCTCCAATAATACCATCCACAGGTGTAATTGGGATGTCAAAGAACGGAGGAGTCTTCCCTTCTGAAGAGTGAAAGAAATAAAAAAAAAAAAATCACTTTAAGATCTTGTTTTGTTTTAAAACTCTGTGAAATAAATATTATTTGTACAATATTAAATCCATATAAAAAGCAAAAGTGAGTTTTAAGATATTTGCATTAAATATTTCACAGCCCACTGACCTGTAAGGACAAGCCTGCCGCTAGAAGAAGCAGTCCCAATTGCATTGGTAGCTGTGCAGGTATATTGCCCAGTAAGCCTCCTATCTGTCTTCAAAATCTGGAGAGTTGCTACATTATCTACGAAGGATGTGTGGACATTGTAGTCCTCTTTTACACGTACACCGTCTTTAAACCAAGATACTTCAATAGGTTCTGAACCAGCAATGCCGCAATCAAATGTAACTGGTAAGCCAACAGTTTCATGAACATCTCTTAATTTTCGTGTAAAAGAAGGAGGAAGTTTACGCTCTGTAAGAAAACAGGTATTGTACAGTGAGGGCTTTCAGAAGATATGCACCTGTTGCTATACTCACCAATAATCACTGTCTAATATACTGTAAAGCATGCTGGATTTTTGCTCATAACTTCTGATTAAAAATATTATTCAGCATATAATTTATTTGGAACCTGATGTGAAAAGAGTACTGTGCATACAGTTGCAGGAAAATATATACCCATTCTCCCCTTCATTACACTCAGTGAACCTATTTAACCCTGAGGACTGCTAATGGTGGAAACAATCAAAGCAATATCTTCAATGGGAAAGGAAGATGCAGAAGTTTGTATCCCTACAGAAGAGCTGTGGTCAGTAAGAGATATATTTTGATTAGTTTTACTGGTAGGCCTTTGTTAATAGAAGACAATGCTACAGGGTATCTTACATGCCAAGAAACAGTAAAGTGTTTAACAAGGAAAAGGTAATCTTTGTTTTTCAAAATTGCAAAGCATACTTAAGAAAAATAGGCCATTTTCCCATTTTTTAAAATGAAATATTCACCTTGAACTGTCAGCAAAGATGATGAAGCAGCCTCCCCAACAGTGTTTTCTACTTTGCAGATGTACTCCCCACTGTCACTACTGTCTACCTGGCTGAAAACCAGAGTGGCAACTTGGTTCTTAAAGTGCATCTTCACCGTAGCAGTTCCTCTCAGCTTTGTATCGCCCTTGTACCATGACACAATCATTTCTGGTGTTCCAGCAACCTGGCACTGTAAGGATGCAGAATCACCAACAGTCACCTGCACCGGCTCCAAGGGTGTAATGAAGTAAGGTGGTTCTGAAGAACAAATACACACCATTAGCATAAAAAGGCATAGCACAATGACCATTAGTAGTTCAAAAAACATTTGATGAAGTGATGGTGGCTTGACGCACCTAGTATTGTGATAGCACCATGACAATTATCTTGTCCAGAATCATTTTCAATATGACAAGAATATTGCCCCTGATCTTCCAGTTTGCTACTAGGGATTTCCAGTATGGCAGATGTTTCTGTAGTGGTGATGCTACACTTTTCAGAGTGCATTATTTTTACTCCATTTTTCTTCCATGTCACTGAAATTGGTGGAGTACCTGTATATGTGCATTCCAAGATTAAATTTTTCCCTTTCTCTACACTTAAATTGTTCACCTTCTTCACAAATTTGGCTGGTTCTATAATGAACAATGGGAAGAAAACAAATTAAATAAAGCCAAGAGATAATTTTTAGAAGCATAAGAAACATAAGAAGCAGTAGTCTGGACAAACCTTTGACAAAAAGATGTGTTGTGCAAGAAATCTTCCCTGCCTCATTAGAGACCTGGCAGGTGTAGTCTCCACTCTGAAGTGGATTTACATCGAACAGCTCCAGTTCTGCAATTGAATCTTGCAAGGTGATATTGCATCTGTGTCCTGGTACTAGCTCAACACTACCTCTAAACCATTTAACTTCCAATGGAGAGGAGCCTTTTATGATACTGGTAAAGGTTATGTTTGCCCCAGATAAAACATTCAGTGGTTCAGGCTTCTTCACAAAAGACGGTGGTTCTAAGCATGCAAATAAAACAAACAGAGAAGTATGTTTGAATTTCTGATGAAGAGCATAGCAATCAGAAATATGCAACAAAGCAAAGAATGAAGTCTTTCTGAAAATAAATTTGTGCCCTCTGATTCTGGCTTCTTATTGATACTGACCTCTAACATTCAAAAATGCGCTGCATTCATCAGACCCAGCTACATTAGTAGCTGTGCACAAATAAGTTCCCATATCAGATTCCTGAAGTCCATTCACTTTCAGAGAACAGGTATTGTCTGTAAGAGTAGCCTGATACTTTTCTCCACTGGTAATCTCCTGTCCATCATGAAACCAGGAAACCTGAATAGGTGGCGACCCATAAACTTTGCACTCCAGTACAGCAGAAGAACCCAGCTGACCATATGTCTCTTTCAGTTTTCTTGTGAAAGAAGGAGGTATAATACGATCTACATTTGTTTAAAAAAAAATAATAAAAATTACCATACAGAAGTTTAAAATGCAAGAAGTTCCCCATGAATAATGAAATCAGTCAACTTTCTTTTGATATATGTGTTTTAGCTATGTGCTCCAACACATCTAAGTCATTGAAAAAAAGAAGGTTGGTGGTTAAGGATATGCTGGAGTTTTCATTCACACTTTTTGAGGGACACCTTTTATTTTTGCAGTTCTTTTTCATAACCAACAATGTTGCACCGGCTGTCCAAGAAGACATGTAGATTAAAGCTGAAGAAATCAAGTCCTTGCAACATCTCCTGCCCCTCAGAGGTTAGGTAGGCATCTATTCTTGATGCCTGTCAAAGTGGCATGCCTAGTATTCCTAAGATTATACAAGCAATGAGGTTCTCAGGCTTCCAGTCATGAGAAATGGTTTGCTGTCTGAAGGCTTTGTAAAGGAACTATAGGATTAGATGTGACTCAGGGAGTAGTCAACTAACCTGAAACATGAACTGAAGCTGTGCAGCTGCTTTTACCAACACTGTTTTTCACCTCAAAAGTATATTCTCCACTGTCTTCTAGTCCTGCATTGAGGATCTTAAGCCCAGATACTTTGTTGAAGAAACTGATTTTATGTTTATGGTCAGTGGACAGTTCATTCCCATCCTTAAACCACCTAGCAGTAAGCTCTGGTGTGCCGTCTACTGTGCATTCCAGAGTACAAGAGTCTCCAGCTGTAACTTTGACTGGACCTGGCTTCTCTACAATGACTGCAGGTTCTGCAATGAGATGCAAATCACAACATTTTTAAGAACAACAATGCCATAGTTATTAGTATAATGAAAATTGAAATTTTAAAGCATCTTAAAACACATTGTGTCTTTTATCCCATGCTACCAACCTAGCACTCTCAGCATGGCAAAGCATTCCTGAACTCCAGCATCATTTTTTATCTGACAACTGTATTTCCCAGCATTGGCTGGCTCCACATTTCCAATCTGAAGAGTTGCGATGTTTTCTGAGTAGGAGATCCAAAGATTATCACTTTCTCTAATGATTTCCCCTTTGTCTTTTAACCATAGAACAGAAATGGGCTGTGATCCTTCTACTGCAGCCTGCAGTTCAATCGACTCCCCAACCACGACAGTGAGATCACTCAGCTTCTTCACAAAGGTTGGTGGTGCTATTTAAGAGAAGATATTTAACAGTAAAAAAAAAAAACACACCAGGAGCGGAAAAGTAGGAGGAGAATGACAGGAACAATGAAATACCAAGAAGGTGCCAATCTTTATACAAACCTCTTAGTGTTACAGAGCCAATACAGGAGTCACTTCCCACATCATTTACAGCTTTACAGTGATATTCACCCACATCTGCAGTATCCACATTGAGAATGTGAATACTAGTCAGGTAGTTCTCGGACATGACCTTATACTTCTTGCCGCTCCGAATTTCTCGTTTGTCTTTATACCATGAAATCTGGAATGGGGGAGTGCCCTGAAGCTCACATTCCAGGTGAATATCAGACCCTTTCAAGGTCTGGACTGGATGGGGCTTCTTGGTAAAAATGGGGGGTGCTGAAAAAGAAAACGAAGGGTTAAAGTTTGTGTTTGAGCAAAGGAGATTAAAGAGGACAGACCATTCAAGCAGCCATTCTGGTGCTGAACAGCGAAGACAAACCATAAATAAGAAAGATATCCCACAGTATAACAAACAGGCAAGAGATTTGCCATCTCTTCAGACAGATTTTGGCATCTCTGGTTAAAGAAAGTGGGATTTAACAACTTTTCCACAAAGTAGGACTCATACAGATAGAAAGGTAAGGAAAGAACTGGGATTCTGACCTTTTACTTTCAGTGAGGTACTGGTGCTTGCACTACCCGCTGGGTTCTGAGCTTCACAAGTGTAGTCACCGCTGTCTTCCACACTGAGGTTGTGCATTTCAATGACTGCCACTGAATCCACAAAGGACATTCTGTATTTTTCACTGGGGCGGATCTCGGTTTCACCTTTGTACCAGGTGACTTTGATTTCTGGAGATCCACCTATTTTGCATTCATACTTAGTGGAATCATGCTGTTTCACAAGTCTTGAGGAGTCTAGTTTCTTAATAAACCTTGGTGGTTCTGGAAAGCCAAAAAGGGGAGATGATGCTTTAAACTGCACTGTTGCTTTGAATAAGCAGGAAAATATGTAACAGCAAATGTAAGCTCTGGGGACTTATGCAAACATTCTAATTTTGCAACCGCTATGAGTTTTTTTAGATGATTTCAAGTTGGTCCAAAATCTAGATTAGGAAACAAACAAGTTTTCTATCTGCATTTCAGTTAGTTTCTCCTTCCTTTATTGTCCCACTCTACTTCTCCTATGTATTCAGTACAGATCAGCTGATGTGTGGTTTACTTTAAGTAATACCCTCTTGCAATACATGAGTAATCAAAATGCTTGATGGAAATGCAAGAATCCAAACTGTTCAGCCAAGAAATATTATTAAGAGCATTAAGAGCTGAGCGTTATAGCACTGTTTTACATCTTAGTATGCCATTAACAATTGATATAGCCAATAAATGTATCTGCATTATAACCCTTCACAGATTTATTGCAAAGCCAAACATAAAGGTGCATATAAGGAATAAAAGTCAAGGAGCTTAGTTAGCAAACAAAAGAAGTTCAAAATAATCATGCTGGGAAGAATTATGATGTGGCTGGTATTACAGAAATTGGCGTTAAAGGTCCTGTGACTGAAAAGTAAACCAGATGGTTACATTTTGTTCTGTAAGGAGAGAAAGGAGTGAAGGTTTGACGCTTTTAATCAAAAGTGCCATATGGATGATTCAGAATCACAAGACTGAATGCTCATAGATCAAAGATATAACTAGTAAAACCAAGAGGTGGTAATGTGGGCACAACAAACAAATCTCACTGCAAAACAGGATGAAGTCCCTCTTTGTGCATCTGTCTGTAAAGTGTAGGAAGAATATCTATTTATTGTGGGTTACCTCAACTCGCAGGACATTTGCAGAACATCCTATGTTGTTAGTAACAAAACTTCCTTAGAATTTCTAAAAATAGAACTAATGGCTTGTTAACACAAGGACTCTTGGAGCCTTAGTAGTTTACTATCAGATTTCACTTTGACAAAGAGTTGATTATCTATCTGCAAACTAACAGTTGCTGAGTAGTCACACTCTAGTTCCATTCCTTTCCAAAAATGAGGATATGCAAGTTAGTAAGGTAGGTACTTAGAACGTAAAGCAGCTTCTAGAACCCAAAGCAGTTATTAAAACTACAGGTTGGGAACATTAGATGTTAAAGCAGGAAAGTTAAAAAAAACCCACAAAACTGGGAGATTTTCAAGAAAAATTGAACGAAAGATCTTAATTCTACAAAAAAAGGCTGTGTGTCATAGAAGTGAGACAGCATCTGCTCACATTAAACACATGCAAATCAATGCACACAAAGAGCTTGCCCTTCCAATTCTACAGAAATTGGCTGACAAACAATGAACATCATTAGTTTTATGGCCTGTGGTAACTGTACAGATTCGAAAGGATTGAAGTGAGTGCCAGTGTAACTTCAGGATGAAAAAAGAAAGTAATAAACCTGGGGGGGGAAAAGTAATTTCAGGACTTTATTCATAAAGAATTGAAGAGTAAGAAAATAAGTAAGGTCCGTCAGAATCATTTTATAAATGGTAACTCTGGTCAAATAAACCTAATCACCATGTTATCATTAATAATAAACAGAACTGTGGTTCTGGGGGAAACAAGCTCTAAATGTTTTAAAGAGGTTGGATTTCTTCCTACAATCTTTCAATCCTTCTTATAAATCAAGATCATAATAACAGCATCCCTACTTGCCAGCAAATACACAGGTAATTCAGTCTGCCACACTCTTCCCACCCCCACCAATAAATCCCTGTGGATAGAATATACTTTAAGTATATATAATATATTTGACAAGAAATATTACAAAATTTTGCTAGTGGTAGTTCAGCTTGTTGCATTATTTGTCTTAGAGAGTAAAAGTCATAACAATTACTCTTCAAATGTTTTTGGTTTTTTCCCCCAAATTCATACAGAGGAAAAAAAAATAAAACCAAAGCACTAAACCAACAGGGATATTTGAACTCATGTGTAATTTCAGTAATGTATTTTACGTTCACTTTTTTATAAAATCAGTGAGCATAAGACATCCGGAACAGCTATAAATAAATCCAATATTCCCACCTACGCTGAGGAAATTACACTAACATATAAGCGTCACTTGTACCAAGATAGTTTGATCCACTCATAAATTTAGATCATTCAAATATATAAGGTCCACACACCATGTGGAGAAGTGAGGTGTTGGCTGATTGGATATTTGTCACCAAGTCTGCCCTCAGATCCTCCAATTTTGCTGTCTAGAACAGCAGTTTTCAATGTTTTCAGTCTGAAAGAGTAAAACTATTTGCAGGAGCTATAAGTAAGTGAACTGAGTTTCTCTCAGTTACCTTTCCCTCCCCCCTGGAGAACTTAGTGGACGTCACTGCTGGAGAAAGACTTTAAGAAAGACAGATTTTGCTGGCCAACAGGGGCATTCATAAAGGCACAACAGGGTACTAAGTCAGAGTTAACACTTCAGTGGAAGAATCCCTTTGGTAAGACAAAATCATGCACTATACCAGACCAGAAGAAAGATGAAGTAGTTCAGTATCACAATAATATTTAAATGAAATAAGACATCTCAACGTAGCCTTTTGCAAAGGTTGTTAATCTCACACATGTCTGCATTCAGGGCTTTGTTTTCTGGACATCTGCCTCTGCCTTGCAAAGAAAAGCCTCATGAACACTAAAGCTCACAGCAATACCTTGTACAGCCAGTTGAGCTGCGCACGCGTCCTTTCCAACGCTGTTGCTGGCAGTACATGTGTAGAGTCCAGCATCCCCTTTACTGACTTTTAGGACTGTCAAACTGGCTGTGTTTTCCACCAGCGTCATCTTGTAGTTGCCGCCTGGGCGGATCTCTCTGTTGTCCCTGGTCCAATGAATCCTCATGGGGGCCGAGCCAGTCACGTGGCACTTAAAGGTTGCACTTTCCCCTAGCGCCGCATCAATAGATACTGGCTTGATGTCAAAGAAGGGAGGTTGTAGGTGTTCTGCAAAGAGGAAAGCATGGCAGAGCTCACCACCAAGCCCTCCTCACCATGCCACGCCCATGCTCCCGGGCCACCATACAATGAGCAGAGTGGGAAAAAGGGTGAAGAAATAAAAGAGCACTCAAAAGATCTTAATTTAAGTGTGAGCTACAAACCTGTGAGGAGAAGTTTGGCACTGGAAGATGCAGTCCCAAGAGCATTTTGGGCTGAGCAAGTATACTGGCCACAGTAAGCCATAGTAGTTTCCAAGATCTGGAGAGTCGCAACATTATTTAAGAAGGCTGATTGCATGTTATCACTGTCACTTAAGAGGACCCCATCCTTGTACCAAGACACCTGGATAGGTTCTGAGCCATTTATGCGGCAATCAAATGTCACTGGGGCACCAACCACCTCCTGAATATCTTTCAGTTTTCTGGCAAATGTAGGGGGAAGTTGACGTTCTGCAAAACAATAATAATCACCACTATAAGTAGGAAGCCACCCTGTCGGTCTAGAATTAATTAACTCTGCAATTAATAAGAACCCCTTTCTGTAGACAACAAAGAGTTCCTACAAACTACCCGAGGAAAGAACGGCCCTTGGCCCATCACCTTTAACAACAAGCAAAGCTGTGGAGGTGGCGAAGCCAACGCTATTTTCCGCTTTGCAGACATATTCTCCAATGTCACTATCCTCCACGGTGGAGAATGCCAGCGTTGCCACATTATTCTTGAAGTGCATTTTGTAAGCCTGTGTTGATCTGAGTTTGGTGTCATCTTTATACCAGGACACCTTGATTTCCGGTGCACCACCAATCTGGCATTTTAAGATCAAAGGCTCGCCAACCTTCACATCCACACGGTCCAGGTGTGTGACAAAATAGGGTGGTTCTAGGGGAGGAGAGAATATGGTGAGCAGAGGCAGAGCATCACTGGGGTGCCCTAGGGAGATCAGGGGAGATGTGTACCTAAGATAGATACAAGGCTGTGGCAAACATCTCCACCCGCCTCATTTGCCACCTCACAGGTGTATTCGCCTTCATCGCTCTTGGTGCTGTTGAAGATTTCAAGAATGCCAGATTTGTCAGTAGTTGTAACACTGCAGCGTGGAGACTGAGCAATAGGCATGCCATTTCTTTTCCAGGTGACAGAGATGGGAGGGGTGCCTATGTAGCTGCTTTCCAGCACAATGGACTTCCCCTGCTCCACACTGAAATCACTTAATTTCTTCACAAAGACTGCAGGCTCTGTGGGGAGGAATACATCAATTGTGAGAGGGACAGGTGTGGCAGGGCTGCGGGCAGAGCGCGAAGGGAGATATCTGTGCATACACACAGGCACACACAAACACACCTTTCACAAAGAGTTGGGTTGTACATGAGGCACTGCCAGCATCATTTGTGACCACACAGGCATAGTCCCCGCTGTGGCCTGGCTCCACATTGTACAGCTGCAGCTGTGCCACAGACTCATCCAGAGAGATGGAGCAGTTGCTGTCTGGCACCAGCTCCCTGATGCCTCGGAACCAGGTCACTTTGAAGGGAGTGCTGCCCTTGATGTAGCTGGTGAATGTTACACTTGATCCAGGCAAAACTTCCTGGGGATCAGGTATCTTCACAAAAGAAGGCGGTTCTAAGGATCGTGCAAAGAAGTGAAGAGGGAGAAAGATGTTAATAGGAGAGTCTCTGTGGGGGAGGAAAACTGGAGCAGGTTTGAGAAAAAAGGCTGTGTAGAGCCCGTTCTGATGTTACAGGTAATCGCCTGACTTATCTCCCAAGTGTGTTCAATACCTTGTATGCTTTCATCCTTATCTCATTATGCTCTTTTAGGGTTAAAACCCAGGAGTTTACAGGGCAGCTAAAAAGCTCTCTGTATCCTTGAGGGTAAAAAAAAAAAAAAAAAAAAAAGAGATAAAGTGGGAGAAAACAGAAAAATTACATGAAAAGGAAACCATGGGAAACCAGAGGGAAGGAAGAGAAGAGGAAAGAAGAATCTTGCTGAAGGGGCTGTAGTATGCTTCCACTGACCTTGTACAGTCAAGAAGGCACTGCATTCATCAGATCCAGCCACATTGGCTGCCACACAGGTATATGGCCCTGTATCAGTGACATCCAGGGCATTCAGCTTCAAAGCACAAACGTTATCCAAGAATGAGATTTCATATTTTTCTCCACTAACAATCTCATTCCCATCCTGAAACCAGGCCACAGATATGGGGGAAGTGCCAGACACTTTGCACTCCAGAAGCACTGAAGATCCCAGCACCCCATTTGTTTCCTTTAGTTTTCTTGAGAATGAAGGAGGAACAAGACGATCTAAGTAGGACAGGGCAGAAGAATAGGAAGAAAAGTGTTGGGTTTTTTTTTTTCAGGGGAAAGGGGGGGAAAAAGAAGCTTCCTTTAAAGACAGGTGTGAACAACAAAGACATAGAGCTGACCTGAAACATCAACTGAAGAAGTGCAGCTGCTGTCCCCCACCTCATTGTGCACCTCAAAAGTGTACAAGCCCCTGTCTCCCCTGTCTGCAGAAAAGACTTTCAAAGTGGATATATTGTTGAAAAAGGTAATTTGGTATTTGCGGTCACTCCTTAGTTCTCTGCCATCTTTGTACCACTTGGGGATAAGTTCAGGTGTTCCTCCTACTTTGCACTCCAAGGTAAAAGGATTGCCAGCCATTACAGTGATCGGTTCCGTCTTCTCTAAGATGACTGCTGGTTCTGAAATAGGAAGGGAGGGGTCAAGAATGTCACCAGGAAATCTGCCCATAAACGAGCGAGCACAGGGTATAAGCAGAAAACAAAGGCTGGTAGAGGCAATTGTACAAGCTGTGTGATATAGTACCTGTAAAACAGGCTATACCCACCTAGGACTTGTAAAAAGGCAGAGCACTCCCGCATGCCAGCATCATTTTTGATCTGGCAGATGTACTTCCCAACATCAGCTCCCTCTGCACTGGCAATCTCAAGAGTTGCAATGTTGTCCATAAACCACATTTGGACATTTTCACTCTCCCTAATAACTTCACCCTTGTCCTTGAGCCAGACAACAGAAATCGGTGGGGATCCTTCCACCACTGCCTGCAGGGCTGTTGGCTCCCCGACGAAGATTGCAGTGTCACTCAGCTTCTTGGCAAAGCGTGGGGGTTCTGGTGGCAAAAACAAGGAGGCAGGGGAGGGTTAATAATGCATGTCTGTTTGGAAGAGGGACAGCCAGGAGATCAAGAAAAGAGAGCGATGATGCTGTTGATCCTTTAGCATACAAACCTTTGAATTTCACTGGACAGGTGCAAGTGTCGCTTCCCACCTCATTCATAGCTTTGCATTGATATTCTCCAGTATCTTGAGATTCCAGATTGAGAATATGAAGACTGGCAATGGAGTGCTTTGCTGTCACCTTGAACTTCTTGCTGCTCCTGACCTGCCTCCGGTCCTTGAACCAAGCCACCTCAAAGGGTGGAGTCCCTGCTATCTCACACTGGAGGATAACATCTGAGCCTTTAAGCGTGTCCACAGGGCTTGGCACCTTGCTAAAAACAGGTGGTTCTATAAAAAAAGAATCACATCACAATATGTGAGCCTTCTTCCCTGGGTGGGTTTCTGCATAGTGGCAGGAGGCAACATGTTCAGGAAGGGGGCCTACACTTATTCTTGTAAACCCATATTTAGCTTCCAAATATGTGGCCTCACCTCTAAAAAATGCTGAGCCCCCGGCATCTGTGAGCAAGCCATCCTATTACTCAGAGTCCCAAAGGCAGAAAATGTGACACTTCTGCACCTGTTTGGGGTCAGTTCTCAGTGCTCCTCCCCAAAAGCCACCCTCCCCTCTCTCCAGGACCACATTCCAGCTTTCCCCGCCTCTTTCCAGTCATAAAAGCTACCATCAGTGAGGCTCAGTAACACAGCCTCCTCTTCCGTCTTAAATTTCATTCCTGCCAGGATCACTATAAAGAGGAGGCAGAGGGATGGCTGCAAAGTACACCCAGCTCCCTCACCACGGCTGGTGCTCCATCTAGTCCATGCGTCCCTTGTGACCTGACAAGCTTGCTGTATTCAGCTTGCAATTCACTTAAATGGGTAGACAAGGGAACGGCTGCATGTTGGTGAACATGCACCACTATTTCCTGTCTGGTCTCCACTGCTCAAAGACAGCAGCATTTGAATGTGAGAGCAGCTGGAGAGATGCTGCTGCAGCAGCCAGCAACAGCAATAGCAGCAGCTCCCTCTCCAGGGCGATGTGCAGCTGGGAGCGGGCCCAGAAGCCAGGGATTCTCGTGGTGTGTGGAGCCACGTTGCTAACCTTTCACTGCAACTGAAGTGCTGCAGCTGGCTGTGCCGGCAGAGTTTTGGGCTTCACATATGTAATCGCCAGCATCTTCAGTGTTAGCACTCAGGATGGTTAACATCGCCACGGAGTCTACAAAGGACATGTGGAGCCTGTTGCTCGCCTGGAGTGCCTGGTCATTTTTGTACCACGTGGTTCTGATCTCTGGTGTGCCACTGATTTTACATTCAAGTTGAACTGTGTCCCCCTGCTTGATGAACCGCAAAGCTTCAGGCTTCTTGATGAACTTGGGAGGTTCTGCAGAACAGAATAAGTATGTAGAGAGTGACAGTATACCTGTTTGTCATGTGAAATCTACAGTACTGAGCAAGAGTTATGGGGTGCACAAGAGTATTGGGACACAAGAAAGTAAGCTTGCTACAGCAACTGACTGTATCCCCAACCAGTTTCCTCTCAATGAAAGACACAAGATGGAGAAAAGGCGGCAAAGACAACAACTAAAACTATGTTCTGCCAACTCTGGAGCCTGCTGTGTCAGACAGCTGGAGCTTTAAAAAGCACATGAACGAAGATTGCTCCACCCAAGGGAAATTTTGCTGTTACCCTTGAGGTGCAAAAATATCCTGCAGCCAGCATGAAAGATTTGACAAGCCCTTCAGCCCCAGGAGCAGCAGAAACACGGTAGGGATAGTTTCCCTTGCTTACACATTTTTAAACTGTATTTCTGTATGAGGAACCTAAGTGATTCATTGTCTAGATTAAATCAGCAATTCAGAACTCCAGTTGAAATCTTTAGCGAATTTGAAAGAGTCACCAATGCTGGCCCACAAATGCAAGGTAGTTGTATTTACCATATCACTGTTTTCCATATAGTAGTTGCTATGTGTGAATACCACTGTGACTGTAGTTTAAGCACTAATGACAAAGTAAAATACAGGGTGAGAGCAACTCTCCATACAAACAGCTTCACAAAGAGACCTTTCCCCTTGGAAATTTTGCAGGCACACAAGACTTCTACTGTCATGCAGTAGGATAGGAGAAGATATCCACATGGTATATGTCTGATTTCTAGAAAGCTACTTTCTTTATATTTCCAAACTGGAAAGGGTGGAAGATGAGACTCAACAACAAAGAGGTCTCCTTGCCCAAGAAAAAGAAAACACACAAATGAAGGTGACTTAATCGCAATACCTTTTACACTGAGTTGGGCTGAGCAAAAGTCTTTCCCAGCTTCATTACTAGCTTGGCAAGTATATTGGCCAGAGTCTCCTTTACCCACTCTGAGCACTCGAAGGTGAGCTGTATTGGCTACAAATGTGATATTGAAGTTTCCTCCAGTTCGGATCTCCCGACCATCCTTGGACCAGGTGATGTGTATTGGCTGAGCTCCAGTAACGTGGCATTCAAAGTCAGCACTTTCTCCAAAAGGCACATCAATAGATTCTGGTTTGGTGTCAAAGACAGGTGCTTGCTTGGGTTCTAGAAACACAAGAAAACAGCGTAATACTCATACCTCACAAAAAAATGTTAATCCAAGACATGGAAACCATCACATGCATGAAATAGGAAGGGGAAGCCTGTGATCCAGGCAAAAGTTTTGTAAGCCAACGCACCTGCCACTGTGAGCCTAGCACTTGAGGTGGCAGTGCCCACAGCATTGGTGGCTGTGCAGGAGTACTGCCCAGTATGATTCATCTCAGTTCGCACCAGTTGCAGCACTGCAACATTATCTACAAAGGATGTGTGCACATTGTGGTCATCGCTTAGCAGCACACCATCTTTATGCCAAGTCACAGTAATGGGTTCTGAGCCATTGAGCCGACACATAAATTTAAGAGGCAAACCAACAGGGTGCTCGATGTCCTTTAATTTTCTTGCAAAGGAAGGTGGACGTTTGCGCTCTAGAAGAAAGCAAGTAAAGGATAAATATGCCCCAGAAAGCATTTTTCTATAGTTTTGCAAGAGCAAAAGAATTTGTAGCAAGCTAATATAAAATCATCACCTTGAACTGTTAAGACAGCCTTTGTAGATGCAGTTCCTACGCTGTTTTCTGCCTTGCAGGTATATTCTCCACTGTCGTTGCTAACCACTTTGTTGAAAATAAGTGTAGCAACGTTGTCTTTAAAGAACACTTTGTATTCAGGAGTAGACCTGAGTTTTGTGTCACCTTTATACCAAGACACGGTGATCTCTGGTGTTCCAGCAACGCAGCATTGCAACGTTGTGTAATCCCCAACTGAGACCTCAAGAGGTTCCAAGTGTGTAACAAAATAGGGAGGCTCTAAAAAAATAGAAGCAATTAGATAGGCTCATTATAGTGTCAGGCCTTGGAAAGCAGACACTTGAAAGAATAGGCAAGAAAAGGAAGCAAAGAAAGCACACACCTAGGGTAGAGACTACAGCCTCACAAACATCTCTCCCTGCCTCATTTTCAACATGGCAAGTGTATTCTCCTGCATCTTCTTTGGTGCTGTCAAGTATTTCCAGGATGCAGGATTTCTCTGTGGTGGTGATGCTGCACTTCTGAGATTGAGTGATGGTGTGGCCATTCTTCTTCCACGTCACAGAGATGGGCAGGCTGCCTGTGTAAGTGCCTTCCAGGATGATGGGCTTGCCAGGCTCCACATACTGATCGCTCAGTTTCTTCACAAAGACAGCCGGCTCTGATGAAGGGTAAGAAGTCAAAAATGTTGAGCTCAGCAGGACAAATGGAGGCAAGAAAACAATATTTTAAGGTAAATAGAGAATCACAATCTTTACAAACCTTTTACTGTAAGATGTGTTGTACAATTTGCCCTGCCAGCATCATTAGTCACTAGACAAGTGTACTCTCCACTTTGGAGAGGAGTTACATCAAACAACTCAAGCTCCACAATGGAATCCTCCAAGTAGATATTGCATTTGTCCCCTGGCACAAGCTCATTGGCCCCTCTAAACCAGTTCACCTTAAAAGGAGGGGTTCCTCTGATAACACATGTAAGAGTGATGCTTGTGCCTGGCAAGATATCCAGAGGCTCTGGTGTCCTCTCAAAAGACGGTGGTTCTAAATACACAAGAGAAAAAGAGAGATAAGACAGGTTGCTACAGCATAACCCTGGAATTTCCATGCACCTACTGAAGATAAAGAGCAAAAACTATTTTCCAGTCAATAATTTTTCCCAAGGGTATTTACAAAAGACCATAGGCATTTTCAAGAGAGAAAGAGAAAAGAATAGTTCAGAGAGCTTCCTGAGCATCATATACTGACCTTGTACAGTTAACACAGCACTGCATTCATCTGAACCAGCTACGTTGGTAGCTTTGCAGGTGTAGGTTCCAGTATCTGAGTTACTCAGTGAATTCACTTCTAAAATACATAGGTTATCTGAAAAGGAGATTTGATGTTTTTCCCCACTGACTAATTTAAGTCCATTTTGGAACCAGGCAATGGAAATAGGAGGTGAACCTGACACTTTGCATTCCAGCAATGCTGAGGAACCCAGGACACAAGGGGTTTCCTTTAGTTTTCTTGTGAAAGAAGGAGGAATGATTCGATCTGCATAACAAAACATAATAAACCCATGGTTAGAGAGAAAAGGAGAGAAGGAATGGAAGAAAGGATAGAGAAGATGACTGAAAGAAAGTTTTTGTAAAAGACAGAAGACAAGCAACTCAACCAACCTAAAACATCAACAGATGCTGTGCAACTGCTTTTCCCCACATCGTTCTGCACTGCAAAAGTGTATAATCCAGCATCTTCCTTTTCAGCATCCATAATTTTAAGTGTAGACACTTTATTGAGGAATGTAATTCTGTATTTTTGGCTGCTGATCAGCTCTTTGCCATCCTTGAACCAGCCAGTGGAAAGCTCTGGTGTGCCTGCCACTTTGCACTCCAAAGTACAGGCGTCTCCTATAGTAACTCTCATTGGCTCTGCTTTCTCTATAATGACTGCAGGCTCTGGAAGGAGAGACGGGTAACATGTATGGTGAAAACAGGATTTGATTAGTACTAGCTATAAGTATTATAGCACTATAAGATGGGTCTTACACATTTGATCTAAAGATATCTCAGCCTGTTGGGCTGCAATTTTTTCAGCTCTGTTTTTTCCACCCTTTATTCTACCCTAAACTGGAGATTTCAGATGCTCTCCAAAATGAAGTAAAAATACTTTTAAACTCCTAGGAGAGAAATGCAATTGTCTGCCCCTCCGCAAGCAGGCATGAGCAGAAAGCATGACTTAGAAATCCAGTCAACTGGATCCCATCACAGTGTAGAGGCTTGTGATTCCTTTCACCCCTATCCCTGGACAACTGTAAATAAGGAACCTGACTACTGCTTGCTGGGGACACAAGGATTCTCTGTTATTATTGTTTTGAACTCAGGGGCATAAGCAAAGCATACAGCTGTCACTAAACAGCTAAGATCCCAACTTTAAAAAAAAAAAAACTTTCATAAACTTGTGTTTTTTACCAACCTAGAATAGTTAAGGTAGCCATGCACTCGCGACTTCCAGCATCATTTCTGATCTGACAGATGTATTTTCCAGCATTGCTTGTCTCTGTGCGCACAAATTGTAAAGTTGCAATATTTTCCATAAATGTGATCTTTGTGTTTTCACTTTCTCTAATAATTTCCTCTTTGTCTTTAAGCCACTGCACAGAAATCGGCTGGGAGCCCTCCACTCTTGCTTGTAACTCTACTGGTTCACCAACCACAACAGTCATGCTGTTTATTTTAGTCAAGAATTTTGGTGGTTCTGAAGAAGAAATATACAGTTAGAGTAAACACTCCCAGCGTGGATGTAGAGAGCAGAAATGCAGTGCCATCAGGAGCACTGCAGAAAGCATATGTGCCAATACTTTACCTTTGAGCTTCACGGTGCAAAAACAAGTGTCACTTCCTACGTCGTTCTGTGCTTTGCACTGATATTCACCAACATCTGCAGCCTCAACATTAAGAATGCGAACACTTGTATGGTAATTTTTGGCTGTAACCTTATACTTCTTACTACTGCGGATTTGTCTCCTGTCTTTGTACCAGGTGACATCAAATGGTGGCGTTCCCGAAATCTCACATTCCAGGCTAACCTCAGTTCCTTTGAGCATGTCTACTGGAGAGGGCTTCCTGCTAAAGACAGGAGGTTCTAACAAGGGAAGAAAGGAACATTTTTAGAAAGGAGTCTGGAGCTATTTGACCAGTAGTTTACTGATACCAGCTTCTACACAATGAGACTGATGAGAAAATAAAAAAAATGGGCAAGGACTTTCCTCAATTTCTGGGCACATTATGAAATGATCTTGCAGGTAGGTGAGCATTCAGAGGTCTTAGCTCCTCTGTAGAAAAGGTAAACAGGGCTGACCCTTGGCAGAGAGGGTACAGGTCTCATTTAGCTGGTAGCAGTTTCAAATACAGGGTGTAAGACACTGACCAGTTTGGGTCTGTTCTTTTTTTTTTTTTTCGTATTTCACCTCCTTGATATAACAATACCCACTATGATCTGTCTTGGATATTGACAGTCATAGAACTGGGGAACACCTAGCTTAGGACTCATCTGCATTAAGAACACCTTTCTTGTTCAGGCCCTGGCAGAGGGGATAAGGGGGCATCCAGAAACAAACATGACATGAAGAAAAAGGCAGTCCTGAAATAAGAAATTAATCTCCTGTTCCTGTGGATTTCCAAGGGGTAAAATCACCAGGGAAAATTAGGATGTAGTCAGAGAACAAGAGGACAGCTAACCTTTCACTGTGACTTTGGTGCTACAGCTGGCCTTGCCGGCAGGGTTGTGAGCTTCACAGATGTAGTCACCGCTTTCATCAGTACTGAGATGATTCATTTCAAGCACGGCCACAGAGTCAATGAATGATGTCCGGAATTTTTCACTGGCAACAATTTCATGGTCATTCCTGAACCAGACTACTTTCATCTCTGGAGATCCACTTACTTTGCACTCAAGCCGGGCTGAGTCACCCTGCTTGACTACTTTTGCCGCCTCTAGCTTCTTGGCAAACTTGGGTGGTTCTAAAAAATCAGAAAAGTGGGGTCAGGAAGGTCTGAATTAACACTGGGAAGAAAAGAGAAGGGAAAAGAGCCAACCAATTGTGGGTTGAAAACACAGGGTAGGGAATTCACTTGGCAGTATATAAAAGATCCCTGAGGTGGGCTTGGCAAAAAGGAAAGAAAAGAAATAGACGAAAAGACTGCAACGCAATAAGAAAGAGTGCACACCTGTTACCATCAACGTTGTAGTGCAAGAGTCACTGCCAACGTCATTTGAAACGTGGCAAGTGTAGTGCCCACTCCTAGAAGTATCCACTGAATAGAGGATTAAGAACCCAGTCGACCCTTCAATCCCAATGAAACAAGTTGGACCAGATACAAGTTCTAAATCTTCTTTGAACCACTTTACTGCAAAGGGTGGTGTTCCTTTTAGTGTGGCCTTAAACTCCACTGTGGAATCTGGTATGGCTTGCTGGCTTTCAGGTTTTACTAAGAAGCTTGGTGGCTCTGCAGTTTTTAAGAAAAAGAAATATTCATTTATGTCAGAAATGTTTAAGAATGAAGAAAATCAGTGAGGTAAGCATGGAGACCAAGATTTCAGCATTAATATTAAGAGGTATAAGAGTGTTACATTTGCATAAGATTTAAGGTATTTTCCCAGTACCTATCAAAAATAAGAAGTAGTAGTAAAAGAGTTTCAAACCTTTCACAGTCAGGACAGCGCTGCAAGAATCGTTCCCGGCAACATTAGAGACGCTGCATGTGTAATTTGCACTGTCTGCCAGCTCTAGATTAGCGATCTCGAGTGACACAGTATTCTCATGGCACAGGCTTCTATATTTTGCACTGTCAGTTATCTCTTTTCCATCCTTAAACCATTTTGCAGTAATGGGGAGTGACCCAGAAACTTTGCACTCCATTTGGATAGAAGATCCCAGAACGGTATCCTTTTTGGTTAGCTTTTTGATAAATGCAGGAGGAATTGATTGATCTGCCCAACACAAAAAATGGCAAAAAAACCACTGGTTACCTTCTTGCCTACCTTTTGCAAACAGAGATCATTATTTTTTCATTCACTCCCTGCTGGATTGGTGAATTTGCCAAATGACAATACAAACCTAGCACAGTCAGAACAGCTTCACAGGTGCTACTTCCAAAGTCATTTTCAACCTTAAAACTGTATGTACCACCGTCCTCCTTTGAGACAGGTTCAATCCTGAAACTGGCCACATTGTTTTCAAAGCTCATTGTATAGTATCTACTGGGCAGGAGCTGTTTGCCATCTTTGTACCATCTGATTCGGAGCTCTGGTGTCCCAGCCACAGTACACTCCAAAGTCACGGGGTCTCTTTCAGTGACTTTAAGTGATTTAGCCTTTTCTATGATCCGTGCAGGCTCTGAGGTATAAAGTGTATAAAAATGGCAGTTAGCTACACAGGTAGGGGACTCACTTTCCAAGTACTAATCAAGGATTAGCTTGAAGGGTAACACTGGTACACACCTTGTACAAAAAGCAAAGCAAAACACTTCTCCACGCCAGACTCGTTCTTTGCCTGGCAGGTGTATCTTCCTCTGTGGCTGAGGTCAACATTGGTAAGTTTCAGCGTGGCCACGCTGTTCTCGAAGGTAATATGGTGGTGCTCATCATCTTCTAGTATTTTCTCATCTTTTATCCATGATACAGATAAGGGTTGAGCACCTGCTACAACGCACTGGAAGAATGCAGTACCTTTCAAAATGCTAGTGACGTTCTCCAGCTTCTTGACAAAGGATGGCGGTTCTGTGGTATGAGGTTGTGTTTGTTGTTTGGAAGAGAAGTTTGGAAAGGGAAGAGGGAAAAGAGAGATCATATAAAGTCATCTGAGTCACTACAGTTTAGCTAGGGGATGTAATATTTGGGGTATACTTCCTAGAGGACTGACCTTTCAAGCTGAGCCTTGTGCTGCAAGAACAGCTCCCACCTTCATTTGATATAATACACTGATATTCGCCAACATCTGAGACATCACAGTTAGTCACATTAAGAGTAAATACTGATTCTTTGGTGGACATGGCATATTTCTTGCTGCTGAACATCTCCTTATTGTTCTTCAGCCACTTTACCTCGTATGGAGGAGTACCAGTTACCTCACACTCGAGTGTGGCCTCCAAACCCTTCACTACCTCGGTGGGTCTCAACTCCCGAACAAATGTTGGAGGCTCTACAAAGAGGAATGAGGGGAAAGTAGACAGTAAACTTTAATGGCTTTGAGGGGAGAAGTCTCCCCTACTCCACCAGCCCAGCTATGTGGCATAGCTGGATAATAACAAGATGTTCAAAACCAACCTTTTACTTTCAGCTCGACGCTGCAGCTCTCACTACCTGCGTCATTGTGGGCTTCACAAACATAAATCCCACTATCTGACACTCTGGCTTGAGTGACTTTCAAAGTGGCTAAACCGTCTATGAAGGAGATGCTGTACTTAGCTTGGTCAGTCACTTCGTTCCCATCCAGGTACCATGTGACGCGGATCTCTGGTGTGCCTACTACCTGGCACTCGAAAGTGGTGGACTGCCCTTCACGCAAAGCTATTACAGAAGTTGGCATCTGAATAAATCTGGGGGGTTCTAGAAGAGGGACAGAAAAGGTGAGGCTTTATAATCAAGATGGCTTGAAGAAACACAAGGGTTTCCTACCCCTTTTCCCCAAATTGCACAGAAAAAACAGAACCACAAAGATGAGAAGAACATTGGGTTGCACACCTTTTACAAACAGAGCTGCTTTACAAGTTGCAGTCCCCACATCATTGCTTATCTGACAAGTGTAGTTCCCGGAGTCAGATGTCCTAGCTGAGAAGAGCTCCAGTACACTAGATGTATCATCCTTCCAGACAGATCGATTGGCTCCAGAGAGGAGCTCCTGGCTGTCTTTAAACCACTTGATCTGCAGAGGAGTGGAGCCTTTCACCAGTGCTTTGAATTGAACCCTAGCATTGGGCACAACCTCTTGGGACTGGGGTTTTTCCACAAAATATGGTGGTTCTATAACATGTAAAAGGAAGAAAGAGGATTACTTTGAGTCAAGAGAATTCCAAAACTATGACTGAGAGACCTAACACAAGACAAAGAAGGAGCTCAAACCTTTGACTGTTAAGAATCCACTGCATTGGTTGCTTCCTGCTTTATTTGTTGCTTCACAGGTGTAAGAGCCGCTGTCTGTGCCTTCCAGTTTATTGATTTCTAGAAATGCAGTATTATCATGGAAAGAGTATTTGTGCTTTTCACTTGCTGTTATTTCTTGGCCATCCTTGTACCACTGGATACTTATAGGATGTGAACCAGACACTATGCACTCCAGGTGGACAAAAGACCCTTTAATGCTGTCCATTTTCTTGAGCTTTTTGGTGAATTTAGGTGGTATAATGAGATCTATCCAAGACAGTAAAAAGACAAAGTATGAAATTCAACCTTGATTGTGGCAGATTTCAGCTCAAGAGAAAAGAGTATGTATGTAAAAACAATTATAAAAGGCAGCCCATACACACCTAGGACGTTAATGCTGGCAGAACAGCTACTGCTCCCAACATCATTGTGAACCTCAAAAATGTATTCCCCACTATCTTTCTTTTCTGTATGAAGGACCTTTAGGACTGAGACAGTGTCTGTAACACTGATCTTATATTTTGGGCCTAACGTCAGTTCCTTGCCGTCTTTGAACCATTTGGCTGTAATATCTTTCGTTCCTGAAAATTTACACTGCAAGGTTGCTGGATCTCCCTCAGTCACATCTATTGACACAGCCTTGTCCACGATTGTAGCAGGTTCTGTTGTAAATAAGGAGACAGAGTGTTAAGGACATCTGTAAAAATCACAAGGGAACAGTGTGAAATCACTGCAAGCCCTCAGGGTAGGACCAACCTTTGACAGTCAGCAGAGCAGAACACCTCTGAATTCCCGCCTCATTTTTAGCCTGACAGAAATATTTCCCATCATGTTTCAGTTCAATAGATCTCACCAGAAGAGTGGCAATATTGTTCACAAAGGTCATTTTGATATTGTTGTCTTCAATCACTTCATCATTGTCTTTCAGCCAGGACACAGTGATGGGCAAGGAGCCTTTAATAGCAGCCTGAAACACAACCGTGCCCCCTCGAAGGGAACTAATGTTTTCTATCCTCTTCAAGAACTGTGGGGGCTCTGGCAGGAAGAAAGTGGCTATGTAAGTACGGGTCTGGCGCGTGACAGTGTGGCATGGAAACCACACTGGGATAAGAGCATGCCAGTGGCATTCTGCACCTTGCACTAACCTTTCAGTGTGACCTCCGAACTGCAGAGGCAGCTCCCAACATCGTTTGTTACTCTACATTGATACTCGCCAACATCAGATGCATCAAACCTGAAAATGTGGAGGCTAATCAAAGATTTCTCAATGCTTATTCTGTGCTTCTTACTGCTCCGCACGGGTTTATCATCTTTCACCCAAAACACTTCAAAGGGAGGTGTGCCAAGCACCTCACACTCCAAAACCACATCAGAATCCTTCAAGACTTCCATGGATTGAAACTCCTTGCTAAAATAAGGTGATTCTACAGTGCAAAAGAGAGAGTGCAGTTTGTATTAATCATACTTTTGAAGCCTGTAAAACTGCACTGAGTTTAAAGAGACTAACTGGGAGGCTGGATGTCACACACACCTTTGATTGTAACAATGCTACTGCAAATATCTTTTCCAGCATCATTTTTGGCCTCGCAAACATATTCCCCACTGTCTTCAGTCTCGACCTCTGTAAGACGGAGTATTGCCAAGGATTTTGCAAAAGACATCCTGTATTTGTCACTCTCCTTTAGCTCTCTATCACCCTTGAACCACGTGATTTTAATCTCAGGAGTACCAGTGACTTCACAGGTCAGCTCAGCATATCCACCTTTCTTTACCAGATGGGTTGGCTCTAGCTTCTCCTTGAAGGCAGCAGGTTCTGTGGATTTAAGAAGAGTATTCAGGACAAAGGTGGCAAGAAAGAGTGCCACTGGATCAGTCCAGCAGCTGACAGTTTAAAAGAGAGTAAGAATGCAAACCTTTTACAAACAAGTTTGCACTGCATGTTACTGAACCAGCTACATTGGAGACTTTGCAGGTGTATTTTCCTGAGTCTGTTGGTTTGACCGCGTAAAGCTCCAAGTAACTTGCTAATGCTTCTGTCATAATGTAGCAGGCTCCTCCTGTCACCAGCTCAGTATCACCTTTAAACCATTTCACCGTCAGTGGTGTTGTGCCTTTAAATGTGCCTTTGAAACGTACAGTTGATGCAGGCAGTACATCTTGGGACTCTGGTTCTACAGTGAAACTGGGTGGCTCTAGATTGTGTTGAAAGGAAAGAATTGTCAAGAGTAAGATGCATAGCCTGACTTTGGGGAAGAAAAGTATTATCACATGAAGAGTAAAATTCCAAGAAATGTGAAACAAGATGCCAAACCTTTTATAAACAAAGTGCTACTGCTGTCTTTGCTACCAGCAGAGTTTGTGGCTCTGCAAATGTAGACCCCAGCGTCACTTGCATCTAGGTGTTTTATTTCCAAAGACGCAGAGCCTTCTGCAAAGTGTACTGTGTACTTGGCACTTGAAGTGATCTCAGTGTCCTGCTTAAACCAAGAGACGGTCATTGGAAGAGAGCCTGAAATTTTGCAGTCTAGGCGGCATGAGGTGTTAATGATGCTGTCGATATTCTTCAGTGGTTTAGTAAAGAAAGGAGGGAGAGTGCGATCTGTTGAGAGTGAAAAAAATGAAAGAAACGAAGACATGAGTAAAACAGGCATGCAGTTCTGATTCTGGCTCTGTTGGGCTCAGAGCAGAGTAGCAGGGCTCTTTGCAAAGAGCCAGTACTAACCTAGCACAGTGAAGCTGGTAGTACAAGAGCTGATGCCCACATCATTGGATATCTCAAAGGTGTACTCGCCACTGTCCTGCATTTCAGTGGCATAAAACTTGAGCTGGGCAATGTTATTTTTAAAGCTGATCCTATATTTTTTGCTGGCAGGTAGCGGCCTTCCATCTTTGAACCATTTGGTTTTTAGCTCTGGAGTGCCTGTGACAGTGTACTCCAAAATTGCTGGTTCCCCTGCTGTTACCTGGATCATTTCGGATTTTTCAATGATTTTGGCAGGTTCTACAACAGAATTAAACAACTGGTGTTAAGGACAAAAGGAAATTGCTCTTCCTCTTAGGTGGGAGCATGCGGGGATCACAGCACTACTCCACTGACCTTTCACTACTAGTTCACCAAAGCAGGACTGACTTCCTGCATCATTCTCAGCCACGCAAGTATATTTGCCACCAGAGCTCAGCTGGACACCAGTAATCTGCAGCGTTGCTAGACCATGTTCAAATGTCACTCTCACTTTGTTATCATCTTGAATAATGTCTTTGCCCTTCATCCACATCACAGAAATAGGCTCTGACCCTTTCACCACAGCCTGTAATGTAATACTATCCCCAGCCAGAGCTGTCACATTTTCGATTTTCTTAACAAAAGATGGTGGTTCTAATTCAAAGAAAAGAGACAAGAAGAAATACTCATTTGCTGCCACATCATCCCATGAAATCTGCTGCTTAAAGACAGATTTATGAGACAAGTTTGTGCAGTATATGGCACAATTCAGCTAAAGAGCAGACAAAGAGAAGAGCTGCATTCCCCAGCTGGAAGTTAATGCATGGCCCTTTAAGCTCAATGTCCTTCAAATTCACAGGGTAATGCCAGATAAGAGTTAAGATATACACAGAATTTTAAGAGAAGATGATACTCTCCCTCCCCACCCTCCCTAGCCTCCCACAAATCCAAAGAAAAGACATTGTAAGAAACGAGAGGTTCTTTGCCAGTCCCTTCAGTAAGCAGAGTTTTCTCTCTCCCACTGACCTTTCAAGATGTACGTTGCACTGCATATGCACTTCCCAACTTCATTAGCTACAACGCACTCGTATTCACCGACATCCGCACTATTAAATGAAGACACCTCCAGAGAAATAACAGCTTTCTGAGAGGTCAACCTGTATTTTTTACTACTGCGAATCTGTTTCTTGTCTTTGTACCAGCTAATCTCAAACGGTCCAGTGCCAGCAACCTCACACTGAAGAATGGTGTTTGTTCCCTTGACTACCTCTGCTGGTTCAAGTGTTCGGATGAAAGACGGAGGCTCTATAAAAGCAGCGAGAAAGAATTAGTCACCCATGAAAAAAAGAAAAAAGGAAGGGAAGGTTTTTCTCAAGAACGGAGTGGCAGGAGCAAGAAGAACAGACCTTTAACAACTACTTCGGTGGTGCAGCTGTCACTTCCAACCTCGTTTATAGCTTCACATGAGTAGCTCCCACTGTCATCAACTTTCATCTCCAAAATATCTAACACAGCCACAGAATTGACAAAGGACATCCTGTGTGTGTTGCTTTCACGGATTTCCTTATTGTTCTTGAACCAAGTAACCTGGATTTCAGGAGACCCTTTGATTTTGCATTGAAGGCGTGCAGAGTCACCTGGGGTCAGTAAATAAGATGGATCGACCTTCTTCACAAAGGATGGTGGTTCTAAAAACGGGGAGAAAAGAAAAGTGAAGAAAAGGGAAGAAAAGGTAAAAAGGTGAAGAAATGGTGAAGAAATATTGAAGGAAAAAAGGGGGAAGGGGGGGAAGAGGGGAAAAAGAGGGGAAAAAGAGGGGAAAGGGGGAGAAGGGGGAAAAAGGGGGAAAAAGGGGAAAGGAAAGAAGGGTGAAGTACAAAGCTTTGAAAGATTGGTTCCTAGTGCAAGAACAAAACATGTCTTCAGAAAAGATCAGCATAATCTTTGCTGAGCTGCAGTTCTTGTGGTTTCTCTTGCCCTCTCCATCCATCTGTCCCCTGTGTGCAGGAACAACTCTTGGATCTGGCCAGTGAAAGAAGTATTGAAGAAACACACAGTGCACTGGAAGGCAGCAGAGGAAACGAGCAAGAGGTGAATGGACCTGCTGGCAGGTCTGAGAAGAGTTCACAGCGTGAGTTGAGCCCAAAGAAGTCTTTTGCCTGCAAAAGAAGAAATGGGGAACCCAAGAAAAGCAAAGGTACAGGGGGCATAGGACTTACCTCTGACTGTGACGCTGGCAGAAGAGGAGCTGCTTCCCGCCTCATTTGAGGCAGTGCACACATAATGGCCGGAATCTTTGAGCTTAGCCAGAGGAATCTCAAGTGAGGCTATTTTGTCTTCAAAGTAAATCTTATAATCTTTGCCTGGAGGGATTTTGTTTCCATCCTTTGTCCACCCTACTGTTACTTTCCTGTCCTCATCTACCTGACATTCGAGACGTATTTTTTTATTGACTGCTGAGTGCACTGACTGTAAAACCTTAATGAAGTGTGGCTTGTCTATAATGACCATTTCAGCCTGGCAAATGTCAGCCCCAAACTTGTTAGAAGCTTTGCAAGTGTAAACCCCTCTGTCACTGGTGGTGAGAAGGGAAATTTCTAACACATGTTTATTTTCTACTTTGGAGATCTTGTGGTGGTCTGAAGGTGAAATAGTTGTGCCATCTTTCTGCCAGACGATGTCGATGACTGGAGTGCCCGAAACAGTACACAGGAACTTGGCACTTTTGCCCACAAAAGTAGTGATAGATTCAGGTCTGGTAAGAAACGTTGGCGGAAGTGCTTCTGCAAAACAAAGGGGTTCAATGTTATCCAGAAGTGAGGACCAAAGCTCATGTTCTTTCTCCACATTTGACAGAGGCCAAGAGGGGTCAGTTTGTCACTGGACACTCTTAAGCAAAAGAAGCCAGCAGTGAAGGAGATAAGAGTTGTTAAAGATGATGAATTTTAACTTTTAGTTTTGTACTTCTTGGGTCTGTACATTGCTCCAGAGCTCGAAGGCTTTTCGAATCTCTGGAGCAATATAAAAACTAAAAGATAATAAACCAAAAGCTACAACTTCCTCCCCCAAGACTGACAGTTTGTGCACTGTTCCCTCAAGATGGACAAGTTTGCATGCATTTCACAGTTTGTGCATCCTTCTTTAGTGTCTAGCATTTGGCACTTGGCAAGCGCCACATAAAGACTCCTCCCACAAAGAGAAAAGTCAGAGTAAAAAAATCACCATACACTAAAAGTCCAAAAGATGGTGGGGTTTTTTTTAAGGAAAAAAAAAAAGAAGATAGTTGTATAGCTCTCAGTAGACAAAAAAGGTTGCAAATTGAAACAGCTTTAAGCCCTCTATTGTTTTTTTAAGATCTATTTCCCCAGTCATACAGAGTTCCCTCTGGCCACGGCACACAGGTGTTCAGGTACCTGTAGCTGCATAGCCTGCCTCGCTGCAGCTGCAGGATAAACATAGGGTGCTAAGATAATCACACAGTGATTATTACATCAAAGAAATCAGATTTAAAACTGTATGTTTTCTTCTTCTCTGGAAGTTAAATAAACCTTCTTCAAGAATGTATTCACAAACCAATCCATTCTGTTCATGATCTAATTCCTCCCATGCTCTTTTTCCCTCTTCTTTCTTCCCTTCTGAAACTTTTCACACCAATTCCCTTTTCCAGGTACAGAAAGCACCTAAAAGCAGCATTCTCAAAAATTATTCCTTTTCTATGCTTGCGCATGCCAAAATTAGGTATGGATTATATATAACAAAGGCAATCAAGAGGCCCGCCATAAACATTTGTAAGCAGAGAAGTGAAAGCATTGCAATATACCAAGATATTTTATGGAGAAGGACAAGTGATTGGAAGTCTGTACTTACCAGTTACTGTTAAAAGGGCTGTAGAGCTTACACTGCCATGCTGGTTGGAAGCCTTACAGCTATATTCTCCATAGTCAACAACCTGAGGCCTCGGGATCTCCAGCGTGGAGAGGTAGTTAGAGGTGCGAATGGAGTATTTGTCCCCATCATATATCTCTCGGCCAGCTTTGTACCACTGGAACTTGACATTGGGAGCAGTCTCTACCTCACAGGTAAACTTGGCCACATGATTTACAGCCACCTCCAGAGATTCAAGCCGCCTCCTCAGGATCGGTGCAACTGAAATCAGAAGCAGAGAGTAACTCAAAGCCCTGCCTGCTGACATTCTGGAAAGTAACAGTGAAGTGACCAACTGGGAAAAAAAAAAAAAAAAGTGATTTGCTTGCAATCCACATCAAGTGACTGTAAAAGAAAAAAATATCTGTAAGAAATGAAAGCAGTACCAGGCTCGGTGGACAGACAGTGTTACCGTGCACAATAACATCAGGAAACACAGCCGTGATACTGGAAAAAACAATGTGCAATTGCAGTGCACAAGAACAACACGATACAAACATATGCTATCCTGGAGCTGTGAGAAATTATGGTGTGAATGAGAAATTGTGCTAAAACTGTGCAATGACTCTAAAGAGCTGAGGAAGGGTGCGGCAGTGAGAAAAGTGGGAAGAGCAGGTCTGCTTCACAGGCAACAGTGGGAAGAAGTGGTCAGGACCGAGATACACCTTGTCCTGACTGTGCTTGTGTGATGAGAACAGGAAGCAACAAAGTTCCTGACCAAAGACTGGGGTGAAGGAAGTGAGAGACTTTGCAATGTGGTGAAAGGAGACTGTAAATCCAGAGAGAAAGGGGACCCTCTGATTAATGGCATGATGGTATTAATATTGTGTCCATATCCAAAGATACAGACATGTAGCAGGGCAGTTTCATTAGTAGAGCAGTGTTTTAGAAAGGCAGTATTTTATCCCCATAATCCAACCTCTTTTAACAACTGTGAGTTTTGCTGCTGTTGCTCTTTTTCCACTTTGATTCTGCGCCTCACAGGTGTACTCTCCTTGGTGAATCTCCCCACACACTTTGCTTATTACTAGTGTGTACGTGTCCTGATCTTGCAAACACTTGAATTTGTCGCCTGAAGACACCAGTTTACCCTCAAAGTACCAGTTCACCTCTCTGACATCTGTTATGACAGCCACCAGATTGACACTCTCCCCTTCCTCCACAACAGTGTCGACCAGTTTACTGCATATAATGGGATAAGTCTCTTTGTCCAGCTTATCCTCTAGCTTTCCAACTCTAGTTTCCAGACCCTCTCTGCCCTCTTCCTCACATATTTCTTCCCTTTTCTCTTTCCTTTTCAGTGTTTCTGTGAGTGTCTCAGTGGGAACACCTGCGGAAGCTACATCAGCAGTGGCTGCAGCTGCACCCACATCCTTGATTTGACTATGCCCAGTCACAGTGTTGATTACTTGTGCAGACAAAGGCTTCTCCAGGGGTATTGCTGCCTCTATAGTCTTCTCAGCCTGCTGGGGCTCCAGCTCAGAGGTTTCATCACAGGATTTTCCTGAGAGAAGCAGACTAGGATGGACTGGCAATGCTTTGGATTTTTCATCTGTCAGGAGATGTTTTTCTTCACAAATAAGAGAACAGAAAACCTCCTTCAAGACCGTTTTCTCATCAGCTGTCTGAATGCTGATTTCTCCCAAGGAGACTGGGATTTCTATGGCACTGAGTCCTCCTGTGGTCACAACGTAGGTGCATAGGGTGCGTTTATGTTCCTTGGTGATGTTTATTGTCGGTACTTCAATGTTTTCTTTATCAGCCAACCATTCTGAAAACAGGAGGTTTTGCTCACTTACAACTGCAGCTTTCAGTGCATTTCTAATTTGAGACTTTATGTCTAAGTTACAGCTCTTGGGAAGCTGAGCAGTGAGCTGGCTCTCTTTGCTGAGGACTTGGCTTGGCTGGAGCTGGTGAGTGTACATTGTTTCACGGGGTTGCCTCCCTGCCCTTAGATGCTTCCTAAGTGGGCTGGCAAGACTGACAACATGTTCCTCTTCCAGGGGCTGGTTTTCTTCTAGCAGCAAGGGAAATCTCACAGTCTGTCCCTCATGGATTCTTGCAGCAAAATCTTCCTCTGCTGCTTCCAGGGAAGAAATGTTCTCCAGGGGGACAGCTTGGCCCCCAGTGAAGGGCAGTTCAGAGGGAAATCTGGGTTCAGCCTTCAGCTCACCTTGCGTTGCCTGAAAGACCTCAAGGACCTGGATGCAGTCACCATCTATGGCACAGCTCTCAGTGGTGCTTGATACCTGTAGAACAGCTTGGGAAGCCTCCTTCTTCAGAGCAGCCATTTGCTCTGTCGTCTTGGGAATGACTTGCTCTTTGGGCAAGAGTATCTGTGCAGCTACAGTCCCAAGGCAGCCTGGCAGCTGTGTCTCCATAGCTGCTGCAGGCACAACACCCTGGGGGCCAGCAGGGAGAGTTTGCAGTGGCTCTGCCAGAAGTCTGCTGCTCTCTTGTGTTGTGGCCACCTGGGCGAGCATCTCTTCAACATTCTGTGCAGCCAGGCAGGCCGGTGGCAGGCCAGGCAAGATGTCTTCCCTGGGTAGCACATGCTCTGCCTGGCTCATCTGGAGCTGAAGGAGGGTTGGGGGCTCCCTCGTGGCCTCAAGGCTGAGCGCTCCATCCATGGCAGGAAGTTCGCCAGCCTCCTCGTAGGAGAGTGGACTTTGGTCCTCTGCCACCGCAGAGTGCTGCAAGGCCGGGCTCTGCCTGCACACAGCATGCTCCTCAGGCAGCACAAGGAGTTCAGCAGAGCATGTGGCCTCACCCAGGGCACTCGCTGCCCTGCACGTGTAGAGCCCAGTGTCCTCTTCCATGCACTCCCACACGGTCAGTGAGCCTGAGCCATCAGGGCGGTGAGCAACAGAATGACGTGCATCAGGGAAGAGCTGCTCACTCCCCTTGAACCACTGCACATTGGGGCATGGCTCCCCAGACACAGAATACTCAAAGATTGCGGTGAAGCCCGGTGCACACCGCACACTGTCTGGCTCCCTGGAAAAACAAGGTACCCCTGCTATCCGCTGCTGCACATGGAGGTGGGCGCTACATGTGGTCTCACCGTGTGCGTTGCTGGCCGTGCACATGTACTCACCCTCATGCTGCACACCCACATATGGGAGGATGAGGCTGTGGTCATTGCCAGCAAACACTAACTTACAGTCCATGGATGAGGTTAGCTTCATACCATTGAAAAACCACTGGATTTTGGGTGTGGGGCTGCCAGTAACAGTAACAGAGAGCCTAGCTACATCTCCCTGCCAGACTTCAACATTTGAGACCTCTTTGAGGAAGACAGGGGCTTTGCCCCCTTCCTCCATTTTCATCTTTGCTTTGCTGGAATAAACTGGTTTTTCAGGCTCAAGTTCAAGTGTTTTCTCTCTATCAGGCAGCTGAAGGCTGCTGCTGTAGCCTTCACTTCTTCCTTCCTCAGAAGACACAATAAGAGAGCTAGTGATGTCTGTATGGAAAAAAAAAATGTTTAGTTTTACTAGAACGTTTAAGAGAACTCTAGCAGATAGCAATGAACAGTGTTAGTGCAACTATTTTTGCATATCTGGAGGTTTTCTCAATACTGTACAGCAGTTAACAATGAACATGAGGTCCTCTTGCTGTCAAATACGCACCAGCCAAAGCCAGCAAGACATGCTGTGCTGTCAGGTTACTTATGAACTTCCCATCTGGATCAGCATGGGTGCCTCTTTGAACCTGACATCACAGTATGGGTTAGGTGTACCCTCAGGGTGTACAGTGCAAGAAACAGTCAAGCAACATTGGCGCATTTCACAAATATAATTTCAGTGGTATGTGCCATACGTATTTGTATGTACACTCATACAAACAAGTACAGCAGAGCAGTGCTAAGAACCTGGTTTAATTCAAAACACCATGAAAAGGCAGAATGCCAGAATTAGGATTGGAAAAATAACACAAACTTTCCAGTGCACAACCTTCTGATGCAGTTAGTTCATCTCTTTCAGCTCTATCTTTTGTCTCACGCACAAAGATATTACCCTCCCCCTTACCAGCTTTGTCCTGGTTTTGTCATTAAATTCATATGCTTACAACACTATTATTAGTAAAATCACAAGCTTGCATCCTTGATTTAATGTCATTGATTTAAATAATTGCTTTTAAAGTCCTCCCTGTCACAACATATTACATTCTGCTTTTTTGTATTAATATTTTTATATTAATTTTATATTATGTTTATATTTTACTAAGCATATTAAAACCCCCACAATACTAGAGAAAAAGAGGAAAAAGCACTTTTTTTTTTTTCTTGCCTTTGTGAATTTAGACATTTATGTGTTGGACCACTTTGTTTTAGTGGTGGTTTAAAAATGAGAGGAAGCAGACATCAAGAACACATCATTCTCTGCAGATGCTTGACACTAGAAATATCAGTGAAATCTGAGACTTCCAGGAACGGAACAAGCCATCCTTAAAAAGCACAGCACAAAGAAAACTTTTGTAAATCAAATCCTGTTGTCCTCACTGAGTCCAGTTTGCTCAGCTAAGGTCCACAGTATTTGATGCTGGAAAGATATGAGAGTTGTTAAAAAAGAGTAAAAGTGTGCGTGGATAAATGTCTCCAGGCATTCTAATGGTGAACCTTGATAAGTCTCTCAATTACAGTGTCTTAAATTCCAAAACTTATTGTGAGATAATAATCTTTGCTGTACTCCAACAACATCTATAAGGAAGAACAAAATATGCCATACCCAATTCTTTCTCATCAGTTTTAGCAATCATTAATCTTGCCACAAACACAATAATATACATGACAGCACAGTGCATACAGTGATTAACTGCAGAAGAGAGATGCTTAGGTAAAAGAAAAAAAACTGCACCAGTCCTTCAGTATTACCTACCAGCCTTGTTAAAACAGTAGGGCAGTTTCCCCAGAAATACAACGTGCTAGTGAATTTTAGAATGGGGGGAAGACTTGGGCCCATAATAAAATATAAAAATTGCAGAATGGAACCTATGCTAACACACATGAGAATGCTTTATATATAGGGGTGTGGCAAAGATTAGTGTACTTTAGTGTGTTCCTGGACATTTATGACAGAAAAACTATGCAGATAATTTTTCATATTTTAGCTCTGTCTGTGAAATGAATAAAGTACAAGAAGAGACGAACTTAAATCATTTACATATTTATTTCACAAATTAACCATACATTTTAACATTCAATACAAATCAATGACAAACAA